GATCAAGAACACAACGTGTGGATGGAAGCGGTCAGTAATCAACAAACAGTTTGGATCAGCGTCAGCATTGACCAGCGCCGAGTTAGACCTGTGGTTAAAACATTGTCTAAAGACCCCCAGGACCGGACCACTATATGTGGAAGCATCTAATTGATAGAAAATAACGTGTATATATATATATATATATATATATATATATATATATAATTTGGAAAATCTTAAAAAGAAAATTATGTACACTAGAAAGTAACTGTCATCAATGAGTTTTTGACATGGCTTCCCTGGGTTAAAAAAAACTTTGTCGTACATTTTCTAAAAAGAATATTAACTGTACAAAAACTTTCCTTGGTACCTAACATATTCTTTTACAAAATATTTAAAAATAAAATGGTAGCCCCTCATGGCCCCCATACTGCTTTTGGGTTGGCAGTCAACATGTTAAAATTTTATAAACCGCGATGAAATCAGTTGAATTCTATCTTTCTTTAAACTTTATTAGAAGTAAAGAAAAATATGTTGAAGTGATATGCAATAATATCACTCCAATATGACAGGGAATGTTGTACAATTCTTTCAAAGTAGAAAAGACTGGTTGTAAAAGAAATGTAGTTCAACAGAAGGATGCTGAGAATAACACAGACCACGCATTTGAGAAACGAGAAAAATTAAGGAAAATCGAAACAAAAATGAAAGCTATACTTAGAATCAGAAAGAGATAATTGAAATTCTTGCGATAAATAATGAAGAAAGAATGCTTGGAAAATCTGATACTACACAAGCCATATTAAAGGTAAGAGAGGCAGATGGAACCACCAAGTAAACTACCAAACGAGCTTTTGTGTAAATGCTTGGCAGAACAGGGAATGGGGAAAGATAGCGACCAAACACAGCGCTACGAAAGATAGCAAAAAGAAGATATTTAGAAAGAAAATAGATGAATTGTCTAGATTTGTTTTTTTCTTTTTTGTCAGCAAAGCACATTGATTTATTTATTTTGGAAGTACAAAATTGATCGCAACACCATGACAGATTAAAATGTTTTAAACAGCGATGTAATTGGGTGAATTTTTTTCTTTGAGAAAATCAGCAAAAATTTTTTTTTAAATATTATCATTAGCTGAAATAAAAATGTGACACATTTATGACATCATTATTTCAGCTAATGATTATATTAATTGAAATACAATTTAAATCAGAATCATAATCAGTTTTAGTAACTATTTAAAAATTTGACCCAAATTGATATGCAACAATGAAAAATAAAGTTGTCTACTATAGAGCACGGGAGGCACGGTGGAGTAATGGATAGCGGCTCGGATTGAGGAATTCGAGTTCGAATTTCAGTCGGATCCATTCACTTACATGCTAATACCCTTGGGAAAGGTATAAATTCTCTTCTTCTCCTCCCAGCTATGGATAAATAGTAGGATAGACCGGGTTCTATAGCCTTGGATGTAAACTGGCCTACCGCAGAAAGAAATGGCAACCTACCGCGGGAAAAAAATCTGCCTCGTCAGTAATGTATCGAAAGATATATGATTGCCTAAGCGTGTACTCGTAATTCCGACATTTCAACTTGTTTCTTTTCCTCCCTTGTTTCTTTTAATTTCCTGACTCAGTGAAGGTGCGTAGCACGCAGTGTGGGGCAGATGTAGTGGGGGATAGACATTGCTTCTTTGGTGTATCTTGTCACGCCGACTCACTAATGGAGGAAGGTTCACGTAAACCAAGAGATAGCTTATTCCTAAAATTTCACTTGAAGATGAAACGAGACTAAACACCTCAATTCAACTTAATTTTAATAATTATTTGGATGGTTTTGGCTCTCGTTTTTGAAACATGAGAACTCTTATGTAGCGAAGGAATCATATTTTTAAACAAAAAAATATTATAATATTATTCTACTTCTGTATGGAGCACTGTCTTCTTAAAAATAAAAACAAAAATACTAAGGAACTCCGGATTATGCAACCCAACATGTTCTTTTCGATTTTCTGCATACCTATGCACTTATATATATATATATATATATATATATATATATATATATATATATATATATATATATATATCATTTCTTAAGGTTCTTTTAGTGGATACCCATATTTGAGTAGATGCTCTATTTTTATTTATTAAATACTATATTTATTTATTTCCATCTGCCGGCCTGAATATTCGAGAAATCTTTTTAGAAAAATATGCTTTCTCCGTAGATATTTGCAAATTAGCAAAGAGATCTTGATTCTTACTAAATTCCAAAAATATTAGGCCTTGTGCTAGATTAGTAAGTTCCGATCCTCATTTGGTGCTTAAATTATTTGACCTTGTGTCAGGTTAAGCTTAGCTTAGTAAATATTTAAGAGTTCCTTATATAGAGTAATAGTTTACAAGCAGTATTCTTCAAACTATTTCTCTGTAGAATGAGTTCAATCCTCGTGCGTTGCTCCATTTGCCTTGCCCTGAGCCAGCCTAATCTAAGTTTGGTAAATATCTACAGCAACGAGTGAGTGCAGCATTAAGTCACTTACAGCAACTCTGAACTTAACTGCATAAAAACATCCAATTCAAATGAATGCAGAGAAAATTTTAAAAGCATTGCCTAAAATAGATTGCTTTAAGAAAATCAGCAAAAAAGTATACTATTATCAATTTAATGAACTGATTTGTGTTTTTTAAGGCTTATCAACCTTTTGCAGGTTATTTAAAGCCAGAAAATATTTTAGATTGTAAGAAATTTTGGGGGAGATAATAAGGATTTACTGATACAAGTCCCATAGCTCGGAGGAGAAGAGTTGAATTCATCCCCCTTTCGCCTAAGTGAATATGACGAACCTGATTTGAACTGGAAATCGGCTCTCCGATTTCCAATTCCGAGCCATTATCCATTACACCACCCGCACACTCAAAATTACAGCACATGGTATTCCAACGCCTCTAGCTACTGACCAGCCTCGATGTTGCTCAACTTCGGTGATCGTACGAGAATTAATGTCTCAACGTGATATGGCCGTAAGCCATTAGATTGTGCAATTTGAATCGCAGTCAACTTTTGTGCCCAGTTAGTTATTTGAGTGTTAAATAATTTCCGTTTATCAACTTTATTCTTAATAAAATTAAACTCCAATACATTTTATTCAATTGTATATTCACCGATATTTGCAATGGCTTCTGTAGGTTTGATGTTAAAAAGTCTTCAACAAAATCTTGAATCTGGTTTTCAATAGCAAATGTTATTATCCCAGCCAAAGCGTATTGCCGTGATGGAAAAAAGTAATTATCACTTAATTGATGCAAGGTTAGATGAATATCACAGGTGGGGTAGTATCGACAAACCGAGTTGTAAAATGTTTTTTCCTATGCTATTTTTGTAGTATGCAACCTTGCGTTGTCATAAAGAAGTACTATATTATTTCTGTTGACGTGCTCAGGACGATTTTCATCTAAACTTTTATGGACACATAGCAGCTGCTGAACATATAAATGTGCATTAATGTTCCAATGCGTTTTAAGGACTCTAAATGAATAATACGCCGACAATCCTATCGCACGCATAAAACAATCTTTCGTCCATGGAGATCAACCACTGTGTTCGATTATCCTTGTCAATCCACAGCCTTTTACGTTGAACATTGTTGTATATAACCCACTTTTCATCACCTAAGAACAGTTAGTTAAGATGATATATTCGTCATTGCAATTAATTCCCAACGACAGAAAATATCTATGACTCAATTTAATATATGCAGCAATGGGAAATAAAGACGTCTACCATAGAGCATTAGTTCTCGAGTCATTCTGTCGATAGAAAGTGTTTTTTCTAGAACAGTATCTAGAAAATTATTGAAGTGTGTTTGATTCTTACTGGATGTCATAAATATGTGGATTTGTGCTAGAATAGTGAGTGCCTATCCTTATTGGTTGCTCAAAATATGTGGCCTTAAGCTTAACTGAAAACGTTTTTATAGAATTTTCATTGCTCACAAGTTATTAAAAACTTTGTAAACCAGAGAAAAGTTTGACTTTAACAAAAAGAAATGCAGCAAAAGGTTACAGGTTCGGAGTTCTTAGGATCGAACACATCACTCAGTCGTAGCAATGGCCAACCAAACTATCTCATTAAACATTAACCAAACCTGATTCATCCAAGGAAATGTGTACCGTTATCTCACCGACTACTACAATCTTAACCTCTTCCTATCTAGGGTCAATCCTTATCTATCCTACATATCTCTTATTATTTCCCCCCCTTATGCCCAGACAACAGCATCATTCAATAAACCTCTACCTGAGTGACTCTTGAGCCTTGTTTTAGTGAACAATAGTATAAAGAAATCTCTATTTTCCATCACCATCTCCACTACCACCACCGATCAATTTCCACCGATGCCACTATCACTATTATGATTATTGTCAGTTTACCGAGAGAGTTCCCAGACAAATAAACCATGCCTCGACTTTCTCTTCCTTTAGCATCTCTTTCTCTCTCTACATCACCATCATCACTATCGTCATGTGTTTCTTGGGAGAAAGTTTTCGGCAAAAGGTTTCCAAGGTGCAACTAAAGAAATGTGGAAAACGTACATTCCAGAAGTGAAAATCTCTGAGAAAAAGTTTTTGTGGGTCACTTGCGTTTAATGTTGGCCGGGAAGGCAGCGGCATTGTCAGTGCCAACCTGGAAGGCCGAGGTTATGGGAAGAAAGCAAGGGAGAAAAGAAGAAAAGTTTGCACTGTGAAAGTGCGACCTATCAAACTGTCACTAAAGGGGCCCAGACTGGTTCGGGTTGCCACTCAGCCAGAATACGGCTTCATGCATGATTGGTTGCGCCTGTAGACATATAGTGCCAGTTCTGTGGAGGATGAAATGCAGCAAGGCTTGCTCCGGGCAGGAAGACAGTGGGGAAGACGAAAGATGGAGTTGAAAGAGACGTACAGCACGGATACATGAGGAGAAAGTGGAAAGACAAGAGAGGCAGTGAGGATGAGATTCACGATGAGTGAATTCAAGCGGGGATTGCTTGATACATAGGCAGAGAGTGCGTGAGCGTGTGTGTGTGAGAGAGAGAGAGAGAGAAGAAGAAGAAATAGAGAGTGAGAGAAGAGTGTAGCCGTTGGAAGAGAAAGAAAAAAGGGGAAATTTTGGAAGTTGAAGGCGGCGGCAAAATCAAAGCTGTTAGAAAAGCGTAGATAATGAAAGAGTGAGATAAATTAGAGAGGAAGAGAGGAGGAGGAAGAGGGGAGGAAGAAGGGAAGAGAAAGGAAATAGAGAGGGTAAAAAGATTTGAGTTCTTTGAAGAAGGCAGGTCGAGAGAAGTACTGATGACATGTGAAGAGAGAGAGATAGAAAATGATAGAGAAAGAAGAAGAAAGAAGAAGAAGAAGAAGAAGAAGAAGAAGAAGAAGAAGAAGAAGAAGAAGAAAGATAACAGGAGACGTAGTGAAAAACTAAGACGCGAGAAAGAGAGAATGTAAAGATTAAATACCTTCTAAAAAGAGAGAAAGAAAATAAAAAGAGAGAAAAAAATAGAAAGAAAGAGAATAGGAAGCGAGAAAAAGATAGAAAGAGAGGAAGGGATTCGAAACAAAAAAAAAAGGAAATAAAAAAGAAATGGGGATTCGAAAGCCATAAAGAGAAGAGAAAGATAGAAAGAAAATGGAAGGGCGGGAGGAGAATAGAAAGAGAGAAATAATAGAAAGGAAGAGATTAGAAAGCGAGAAAGAGAATAGAAAGAGAAAAAGAGAGAAAGGGAATGGAAAGAAAGAAAAGGAGAGAAAGAGTGAAATAAATAGAAAGAAAGAAAAATAAATAAAGAAAAGAAAAAACGAAAAGGGGAATAGAAAGATAGGAAGAAAATAGAAAAAGAGAAAGGGAATAGAAAGAGAGAAACGAAATAGAAAGTGACAAAGACGATAGAAAGATAGAAAGCAGTTAAGATAGAGGTAATAAAGTTAGAAAGTGATAGATATTTCTAAGTTTGAGAGGGTAAGCTTTGACGGTAAAACGTAAGAAAGAGAGAGAGAGAGAGATTAAGAGAGAGAGGAGAGAGAGAGAGAGAGAGAGAGAGAGATTAAGAGAGATATCAACTTTCAGAAAAAAGGGAAATAGAGTGTGTGGAGGCTCTAGAAAGAGAAAAATCAGTTTGAGAGAAAGAGGAGAAGTGAAAGTGAGAGAGAAAATTAACACTTAAGGAGACATTATGGCAAATTAAGAATTATTGCGAATACCAGAAAGAGGCTAGGAAGAACGGAAGAAAAGTGGTGATAGTTGTACGTAGAGAGCGGACGTAGCAAAATGAAAGAAAGAAAGAAAGAAAGAAAGAAAGAAAGAAAGAAAGAAAGAAAGAAAGGGATATACTTAAATGAAGAGAGATTAGAACAATATAAATTGTTTACAACTGATAGAGGGAAAGAAAGGCGGCTAAAAGTTTACGCGAAGAAAGCGTAAGGTAATAAGTTAGGATGGGGAAGCGGGGGTCGTGCAGGCTGTTTAAAGTGTGAGAGAAAAAGTGAGGGAAAGTGAGATATTTTAAAAAGGAAGAGAGAGAGAGGGAGTCAAATAAAGAGAGCGATACACAGAAAAGGACAGAGAGGGGAAGGTGAAGAAAAAGAAAGAAAAACAGCACAAGTAACGAAAAAGGAGCAAAAGATGGGAATAGGTGGAGAAAGAAACAGCTTTAAAGAAAGAATGATACAATTTGCAGTGAGAATAGCTGATAGTAAGTACAAGAGAGTGGGAGAAAGGTTAAAGAAGAAAGCTAGTGGTAGTGGGGAGAGAAACACTAAGACTGAAATCAGTCAAAAGAAGAGGTGAGGTGGGTTGACAATCAAAGAAGGATTAGGGTTAGGGTAAGGGTTGAGAATCACTAAGAGGGATGTTAGGTGGTTGGATGGTTGGATAGAGAAACCTTAGTAGAAAGGATGTCCAAATGACAGTGAGAAAGACGGAGGACTTACCTGCCAGGAGGTATGGCAGGAACAGAGGAGGATTAGAAGAGGGTGACGTTAAAGAAGAAGACGCGCTTCTTGGGCTCAAATCGGCATAAATCTGAGCTTGCTGGGATGGAAGGTTGCCAAAAGGAGCAGAGGGTACGGGTGTGGGAATGTTGCGATGCACTGGAGCAAGCATAGTGTCAGTGGCCCTCACTGCGCAACCAGCCTGATAACTGACTACAGTATCAGACTTTCAAACAGGAGAGAGGAAAGTGATAATGTAAGATTACAGAAAGAAAGAAAGAAAGAAAGAGTGAAAAAGAATAAAATCAGTGCAAAAAAAGAAAAGAGAAATGAAAAGAAGAAAGTAAGAAAGAAAGAAAGAAAGAAAGAAAGAAAGAGTGAAAAAGAATAAAATCAGTGCAAAAAAAGAAAAGAGAAATGAAAAGAAGAGAAAAAGAAAGAAAGAGAAAAGACGTAAAAAAGAAACTGGAAAACGAAGGAAAAAATGAAAAACGGAAGAGAAAATAGAAAAAAAAGAAAGAAAGAAGGAAGGAAAGAACGAAAGAAAAAGAAAATAGAAACAGAAAAAAGAAACAGTAAAGAAGAAAAGAAAGAAAGAAAGAAAGAAGGAAAGAAAGAGGGAAAACAATAGGAACAAAAAAACGAAACTGTAACGAACGAAAGAAAGAAAAAGAAAGAAAGTGTGAAAAAAGAAGAAATCGTGAAAAAGAAAAAGAAAGAAAAAAAATGAAAAGACGAGAAAGAAAGAAACAAAAGAGCAAAGAAAAGAAGAAAAAGAAAGAACAGAAAAAACAATAAAATGAAAGAAAGAAAGAAAAAAGAACGAAAGATAAAGAAAGAACGAAAGAAAAATAAAATGGGAACAGAAAGAAAGAAAGAAAGAAAGAAAGAAAGAAAGAAAGAAAGAAAGAAAGAAAAGATTGAAACGATATTTAGAAAGATTGGAGATAAATTTGTAAAATGCAAATAATAGAAAGAGAAAACAGGTAATAAAGAGAGGAGTAAGATAGAAAGAGAGGAGTAAGAAAGAAAGAGAGGGTGGAGTTGAAAGTGAAAGCATGAAAGTTAAATCAAGAGAGAGGGGGGTAAAATAGAGCGAAATCGATAAGTCCGCTTGAGAAAAGTAAAAGGACGCGGAGAGGAAGGCTTCCAGAGAAGGTATAGTGTTTGGCAAGTTTGGAATTGTCGAGAAAGTTCTTTAAGTGGTGCAGATAGGGGTAGAAGACATTCGCGGATAATGGTGGGAGAGAAGAAGAGCAAAGAAAAAGGGAAAGTGAAGATAAGACTGAGAAAAATTAACAAAATAAGGGAGAGAAAAAAGCACAAAACGAGGTAGATAGAGAGAAATATTGGGAGAGTAAGGAGAGAAAAGGAAGTGGAGAACAAGGATGACAACAATGTCTTAAAAAAGGTAAAACTTCTCAAGACATTGGATGTAAGAATTAAAACATGTAGATAAAAGATGAAGGCAAGTGAGAACAGGTAAAAGAAGTGTGAGAGATAAACGATAATGTTAGAAGAAGGAAGAAAAATGAAAGACAGAAAGTTAGTTTTAAGAAAAGAAAAAGTAGACTGTCATTTCGATTGAAAAGTTTAAAAATGCACTTGTAAAGTTCAACTTACCATTGCTACAGTGTAGAGCGTTGGATCTTTACTAAGTCCTCCATACTTGCAGCCTTGTGTCATACAAAGATAAAGATGATTGAATACAAACTGACCATCAAAAACCTGGCACCACTGAGCCTTGTAATGATAAGTTATTTTGAGAAATGTTTAGATTAGAATACACTTAAACCAACATCTACCCTTGAAATATTTTTTTAATCATTTTACCCCAAGCAAGGCAATAATGCCACTAAGACGCAAGGGATTGCAGGGGGAGGTGAAAGAAAATGAGAAGACATTAAGAGAAGGAATTGGAAACCCAATCATAAACAGAAAGCAAGTGATAGACCTCTACTTCTGTTCAATAAGATAGGGAAGGAATCTGAACCGGGCGTTTGGTGAACATGTCTATCCCTACTGAAAAAATAGTAAATAAAACTTCGGAGTGTAAGTTAAAGTAAGAGCATGTGTGATTCAAATGCATATATATAGATAAGGATAGTTAACTGTTACTTTATGAATTTTAACTATATATTTACATGTTAACATCCTTTAAGATGCGTTGTCACTTAGAAATAAAAAAAAGGCAAGGGAAAACCAAACGGCCATTTTGACAATTCTGTTTTGTTAATCAGTTCATGTTAGTAAATACACTTCTACCTTATCTGCTATGGATAACGTATGATGTTTGCATTTCACACCATCAAAAGCATATCCTGTATTCAGTAGTCCTGTAGTAAATTTGATTGGTCTGATAAGCTCACATTGGCAGCTAATCTAAAAAAAAATGACCTGCATTTAACTAGGGCAAGAAATTGCTTATTAATTTTAACACCTATAAAACAAAACTGCTCTTTATTATTAATCATCCGAGATACCCATTTTTGTTTTCCATCAGCATGGCTGATGCTAATCACCAAGTCAGCGAATCATTGCGCCTTCTTGGGCTAATTTCTTCCGCTGATATGAAGTGGAAAGATGATATTGGATCATTTTATAGGCTTTTTTCTAGGGAAGTTGGCTCACTGTGTCGACAATTTTTCTCGCCAGAAACTGTCTTAAATATTTATAAGTCTACATTCGTCCATGCTTCGAATATTACTGCCACATATGGTCTGGTGCTCCTGCTATATATTTAGTGATCATTGATAAAATCTAAAGAAGAATTTGCAATGTCATTGATCCTGACATGACATATCAGCTTCAATGACTTTTCCACCACCATAATATAGTTTCCCTCTGCCTTTTCTTTAAATACTTTCAGGATAATTGTTCTGATGGACTTTCCTCTATAGTATTGTAAATACACATTGGGGCTAGTTTATTAATTGTTGTTTTATTCCCTCCCACACACAGACAATGAATTGTACATATGGGGACTGGTTAGGACTTTCATAGAGACAATGAGGTATTATGGTGGATGTAGTAAGAAATGTAAGTCAGAATGTGTTGTTTTGGTGTAAGGAATACTGTAGTATGTTTGGGTTAGTAATTGTGGCTAGCTAAGTTTAAGATAAGGCAGACTGAAAAACCTTCCCTACCCCCCGCCACTTTTGGCCTTTTACCACATTTTTGTATTACGCAAAATAAATATTACTTTCTTCTATGATAGCTAGACTTTATGAATTTAAATGCCATAACTGATTGTCACAAGGACCCATCATTTTACAGTTTTAAATGGCCGCTAGATGTAACCGTAAGTTCTATGCTAATAGTTTCTTCTATCGCGCTTCTCGCTTGGTAGAACTCACTTCCGGCTTCTTGCTTTCCAGTCAGAGTTGATCTTCAAACCTTTAAATGCAGTGTCATTTGTTATTTTCTGTCTTCTTAATTCTTGTTCGTTTATTCTGCTCACTTCTTGTTGGTTTTCTTTTTCTTTCACACTCAGTAACCTCCTAGGTCTTAGTGGCTCTGTTGCCTTGCTTGGGGTGAAATGATTAAAAGAAAAACACATTGAAACTATCATCAAGATAATATTAAAATAATAGGAAAAATAATATATAAAAATAAGAAATGCGTTAGCAATGTTTGAAATTAGTCAAAAACATTTGGTGCAGCAGCTGACACCACCAAACACTAGTGGCTGGTTCGTGCAACGATCCGGGAAATCTAAAATGGCTCTCAAGAAAATTCGTGGCTAACTTCTGACCAAACTGATTACTGATTACCGGATTGGTGATAACCAACCTGGATTAATATATTAAAATAATGTCTCGCTGCAAAAACTCACAGAATATATTCCTTTATGTTTCTTCTTTTTAGCCTTGTGCCAGACTCTGTAGAAAGAGGGGTTAAGAAGAAATGAAAGTGAGAAGGAAAATGAAGAGGAAAAATGTCTGAAAAATGGATTTACTCTCTTGCGTCTCCGTGTATAGTTTCAATTAATAGTTTTTAAAATTGATTTTAAATGAATTTTAAAAGTCATAGATGTTGCTAATTTAAACTAGACAAAATTTTGTGTTTAAAATTTCAAATATTTAAAGTGAGATGGGGGTACATTTTTGGCAATGTTTAACCTTTATACCCACAAAAAAACGATGTGTCAAAAAGGACGATTATTCACTTGGCACTTCCTCGGCAATGTTTATTGTTTTAAAAAGTTAGGATTAGAATTCCAATAAACTCCAAACAACTGAAAGTGGATTTATATATTTTCTGGATTTTTGAGAATTCACAACAAAATATATTAAACGCTATTTATTTATTAGATTGAATAAAAAAGTTGTTTTCATACTTATTTATAAAATGCTAAATAAAAAATAATGCATTGTAGTTAGCTTATATAGTTTGATAATTTTGTAATATTTAAAAAATTTTGGACAGAAAGATTTCTTTTCAAATTTATTTCTTTATAAATTGATAAATAATAAATATTGCATTCTACTTGGTTCACATATTTTTATAATCTTGTAAATGAACATTTCTGTGGGAGTCAAAGTTGTAAAACAATAATAGCGGTGTCAAGGGAATACAAACGTCCTTTTGACACATCATATTTTTACAGGCACAAAAGTTAAACTTTGCCAAATTGTTAATTACCAAAACTCTGGCTTTACTTTCAAAATGTGAAGTCGGTGAACAATTTTTAAAATGTGAAGCAGGCAAAGATTTTTCAAAATGTGAAAACTAAAATTCATAATTTAGTATAAAATTGTGAAACAGGGTAATTTTTACGCTAATAATCTTGATATAGTTTAAAAATACAAGTGGGGGATAATATTTTTAACACAAACATCTATTGCTCTCGTTTAAAATAGAAGTATTTAGAGTATTTTAATTTTAGGAATTAATTTAAATCAAGTTCTATTATTTATTGAGGTGGTACAAGCCAGTGCAAGTTGGTGCGAGACGGTGCAAAAAACCAATACCTTTTGTAAAAGAGTTTAAAAATATATATATATATATATATATATATATAAAGAGAGAAAGAAGGCGGGCTTGGAGAATTTGACACTCACAGAACATATCGAAGGCAAAAGGGACAAGGGGGTAAAATGACAAGCTTGTATGAATGGACGGCAGAACGGAAGTTGGGAGTGAATGGAGAAACGTTGCTAAAAGCAACAGGTAATGGAAGGTAGTGGAGTGCCATAATCATCCATATTCTGAAGGAATATAGCACATTAAGGCAGGTTGATTTTTCACTTTTTTTCAGGAAATCAATATTGCAATCGATGCGAAAGCTGGGGTTTGATGTGATAAGTACTGATACCAAAAATTAGGTTCATAGTTTTTACCAATTTTTGAGCATTGAGTTTTGAAGGTCATCCGAAAAATGTACAGAAATAACCAATTTCCGCAGGCTGACTTCAGAATTTTATTATTTCAAGAATAAATCCAAATAAAGTTGATAACTTTTGTATTAGATACGTTGACTGGAAAATATATTCAAACCAGAATTCTAATTATGAATCACCACAAGCAAAATATGCAATTTTTTTACTGCATTCAAGTGAGTAAAAATATATAATAAAAATTGTAGAAGATTTCAAAAAATTCTACTCAATGAATAAGATTTCTTAGATCCTTTGTTAGATCATAATTAATAAAAAAATAAAAATAGATAAAAGTTTATATAACACCATAATACTACTGGGCACAAAGTATAAGACAAAATGTTTTAAATTTGCATTGTTTATTGAAAACCACACTAAAACTACTGCACTGTATAAGTTACGTCGTAATATAGCTAAAATGTTTTGTATGATTTCCCTTTAAAGCCAGTGAAGGTCTTATTTGATGTCACAATGATTTAGTAATAATATGTTTGTGCCATGCATCTTGTCCATATATAATTGGTAAAGCTTCAGTAAATTATAAATTTTATAAAGCTTTCATTGATCATTGGAATGAAATCCCAACGCTACGATTTTTAAACTAAACTTAATTTTTAAATTTTTTTCCTCGAAAAACGGAAATGATTCGAAAAAATATTTTCTGTCATTATTTATCATGTCAAACCCCAACTTTAAAATTGAGTGCAATGTCACGGTTTCTAAATCGATCTGCCCTAATGGTACACATAGAAAAAGAAGACCAAAAGACAACATCAGAGGAAGTGTAAAATAAAGAAATAAATAAAGCAAGAATATGATTGGGGTGGGGGTCTAGTTTTCAACCAAATTAATGTGTACAGTGCTAACCACTAAGATCCTTACCAACTATTCAGATATTCTCAAGTGTAGTAAATATGAGTGACGAAGAGAATTTGTAAATTGAATTGGGTCTGTTCAGGCTCGTCATTGATTGTAACAAATCGAATATCTCGTGCCTGGCAATGGTTCAAAATTTGACCAGAGCACAACTTGACTGGTTGAATCCTCGCTATAATAAATCTAATCCTGAATAAACATTAGATATACGCACATTGTCACCAATGCCAAAATTTCTATTGGCAAAGAGCGGACATGACAATTGATCTGCGATGCCATTAAAAAAATGTCCAAGCCGTAATATGAATTATTTGGAAGCCTTGAAAAGAAACACAAACCTGTTTCCAACAAAAGATAGATTCAAACTCA